GCGCTTGGGATTCGTAATCCTAGGGTCTGGTTTGGTTCCCGGCGATGGCCGAAACATTCGAGCAGTTTCTTTCCCTGATGCCTCTGTTATCTAGCAGTAAATAGGTACCTGGGAGTTAGGTACAAAAATAGGTACAAAATAGGTAAAAAAATCCGTTGATTGATTGACAGTTAAGAGGCGGGTCGAAAGAGCAGAGCTCAACCCCGTAAGCACAACTAGGTGAATACACACACACACACACACACACACACACACACACACACACACACACACACACACACACACACACACACACACACACACACACACACACACGAGCGTGGCTCTTATTCTATAACTACACAGGCTCTCTGAACTCAGGCTCCATACGCGAAAACATTCACACACACACACACACACACCACATACACTCACAAATGCAAGCACTCATAAACGCACTCACACACGCAAGCACTCATGTACACAAATAACAGCGTTTGGGTATACAGGCGTGCGCTTTGAGTGCGTGTTTAGCGGTGGTCCTCGTACAATGTTACACATCATTTCTAACTAATTTCACATGTGTGACCTTGATCTATATATTCACATGTGTGAGACCATCTATACAGACTCACGTGCTTAGCGCTCGTCCGTCGCTGTCTCACACTGCATGTCTATTCTCAGTCACGTGCGTGTAGCGTCCGAGTCCCCTGTACACTGATCTCTCTCTGTCCTGGCGTGGGGCATGCCCGTCTGTCCGTTCGCATGAGAGACATCCATCCGTTCGCGTGAGAGATACCAATCTACCCGCTCGCGTAGGTGATATCTGACAGTTCGGTCACGTGGATTACACCCGTCTTTCCTTTCGCGTTGAGAACGTCCATGTGTCTGATCGCTTGGCCGATATCCGTCTATCTGTCCCCGTGGACAACAACTATCTGTCTGCTCGCGTTAATGACATCCGTCTGACGTATCTCGCGATATTTTTCGTGAGGTGACTTGCATGGTGTTCATTCCTCAATTTGTTGTGTGCCCCGGAGCTATGTACCTTCCTCATCTTGTTTCTCCAACTCACAATTTAGACAGGGAGGTAATAGAAACATTGACTAGTGTATATTATGAGTAGATGGGGTCAATCAGTGCTTCAGGAGGTCAACGGTGATTAGTTTCTTACGACCGGTGAGCGAGAGGCGTAAAAGATTGGGACTGGTTGGATAGGAAGAATGAGTAGCAAAAGTAGTGAGTGGGAGTGGGTTAGCTAGCGAGTGGGAGTGCTTGTGAGTAAATGAGTGCTTGACGTAGCACGGGAGACTTACTAAGGTGACTAGACTACCGGATTCGGTGGTCGATCAGCTATCTATCACTGAGGGGGAAGTGGGGCATAAAGTGAGGGAAAAAATACGGTCAGAATGACAAGCGTGAGGGAAGATTAACATAAGGCCAGAAGAGTGTGAGGGGAGAAACCTATAAAGAACGAAGGCAGCAAGTGAGGGGTTCTGGAAAAAAACTTGCGAGGGGTTAGAGAGGATTAAGAACTGATGGTTTGAAGGAGAATGTCATTTGAGGGATTATTGGTGGAAGGCGAATAATTACTTGCAATTAAATTGTAGTTTTATTTATATTTTCCTTACAGATAAGGAAGGTGTAATGATTCTTGTTTGAGAGTATTGTAACACACTTGTAAGTGTAGTGTAATTATGAGGAGAAACAGCTAAGTCAGTGTGACTATAGGAAGGTATATGAGGACAATGAGCTGGGATATAAGGAGGGAGTGAAGAAATGCTGCCCAACCACTTGCATCAGTGGGAGGGATTAGACGCCACTCTGCAAGAATCAAATTCATCACTGTATCAACCAGTCCAAGCGGTTGGACTTGTAACGTTCTTATTTCACACGTTCTATGGTAGTCGAACTAATAAGTCCGAATCGTACATATGTGACGTATAATCTGTGCCCTTACTGAACACCCATAAATTTTCACGCTATTGACCACGTTAAAATTGTGGGGGTCTAAGGGGAACTTAATATCACCGCAAAATTGACGCTTTCGAGGACTAATGAGCATCGGCTCCGGCCGGGTTGTCTAGTTTTTTGACGCTTCTGTTTAGGCAAAATCGCTTATTTTTTTACGAAGGTAAAATCCAGAGAACAAACTCGACTAATGTGTCTTCCAACATGTTTTTACTTCATCTCCAGTTACGTTGGTTTTATATTTCACGGGCATATATTTCGCGTAAAAGTTGTAATCGGTGCTAACATTTCACATCGCCAAAAAGAAAGCATTTCCTAGAGGAATATAAAATTACCAAAAATAATCATTTAGAGAAAATTGTCTGGAATCTCTGTATTTTCACAGGACTCCGTACTAGTGATAGATCTTACGAATACAATATTATTTCAGTTTGTATGTGGGTTTATTTATATTTCCATGTGTGTGAGAGTGGTGTATTAGTGTTTGTGCGCGTATGTGTGTATATGTGTGTACCTCCATTTGTGTGAGTATTAAAATGTACACGTGTATGTATTTAAAGCTTCTGCGACAATCTTAATAATAATAATAACAATAAAATAGAGCAATATTAGGCTGTTATTACGACGTAGTTTCGCTGTGGCTTCAACTGGAATATTGTGAGTTACCTTCACTACGTCAGAGGATTGTGAGCGTTTGAGCGAAGATCAAGAAACATGCTGTCTTAGATCCACCGGTTGTACCCTCAGTCGAGACAAAAATTACGACATCTTATCTTAGAAAGAAATCTAAAAATATTATCGCATTTGTAGATCTTTTTTACTTATAGAGGAAGAGATATAGACTCATATTATATTAGAAAATATAACTATTATCCCATTGAAGTTATGTATTACCCACAAACATAATTTTCCACCTTCCTTCCTTGTAACACTTAAAATAATCACCCAATAAATGTCCCATTTGTTGTAATTGGTTCATATTTGTTGTGTGTATATGTTTTGCCTTTCAACTGGGTTGTAATTTCAGGTTATCTATAGACAAATATTACCGGTAATTGAATGGAGATTTGCTCTGGTAATTTTGCTATGAGGTTTTTAAAACATGTCGTAAACATATGACTGAGTAATTGGAATTTTATATTTGTCGTTTCCATAAGTTTATATATATATATATATATATATATATATATATATATATATATATATATATATATATATATATATATATATATATATATTTATATAAATATATATATATATATATATATATATATATATATATATATATATATATATATATATATATATAATATATATATGATACATTTTGGAAAGCCTCAGTCTCGGAGAAGATAATAATTAGCTTACGAGGGAACCTTCAGATTCTCAAAAAAAATACTGAAAAATACATTTTTCTTCTGCTCACATCCTTAACTTGAGGTCATTCTCTAATCCCTTGTATATCAGTAAAGGTTTTTTCCTGAAGAAGATGGTGAGAATGCCTGCTGTGAGGGTAATTATCCCCTCCAGCTGTCACACGTTTCACTTGTGACGAGAGGGCTGGCTGGACCAGTGGGTGGACCAGGTAACAAGGACGAATGGGTGACACCTTTGGGTGGGGAGAATGGGTTGGGACGATTGGGTGAGTTATGATCGTGGAATGTGCCGTGGACAAGGGCTTTAAGGGAGAGATGGAGGGGAATGTAGGTATAGCAAATCAGTGGAATGACTGATTGCTCAACACAAGTATAGTTTCTAATTTATGTATTCTTGTCGAGACAACTTGAAACTACTCTCACACAGAACACATTAAACACTACAAAAATCACCAGTTTATCTTTAAATGATGGCTGTACCCTCGTCTGGGGCCAGCCTTACCATAGTCTGGACCAACGAATGACCTCATTAAGGGTAACAAATATATTAGAGAATGAAATCCTTTTCACAATCTGGGCAAGTTTTTGTTCATAAATTATTACATAATACCTAACCAAAATATCACGTTGGAATAGTTCGTTAGGCCATATAACCCTCGTTATCGGGAAGATATATATATAAAATTAAGTTGATATGATCAGAATCATTTGTTTTAAATTTTGATTAGGAACATTTTGAAGCTTTGAAACCATCGAAACGTCTGGAAGAATAGACATTATCTTCTAAATTCTTCCAACAAGCGTATTAACATATATGGAGGAATGGTGTTATTTCTTTCCGACAGCAAACTCATTTTTATGGAAATTTCATTTCATGAAAGATAACGAACTAAAGGTGAGTTAAGTTGCTGGAAGCCGAATTTGGCACCATTTAGTAAGTGGCTTCAGGCAGGGAATAATTATCATGAATTAGAGAGGTAGAAATGGCCTACGCTACTCTATCCCTATGAGATGTATTTTTTTTTCTCAATAAAAATACATGAACTTGAATCATGAATTATCATCTTCAGGTAATCTTCTGAACGCCGGGTAGGACACCTCTTTAAGTAAATTCCTACAAAGCCGTATAGGAGCCTCTTTATGTAAGTTCCGACAGGCTGTGTGTAGCCTCTCTCGGTTCATCTCAAGTATTTCACACTGCTGTTAACACAAATCTGAGGGAAACGTCTGAAAATGTGTTTGAGAGAGGGATTTGGGGAACACATGATGACACAACTGCTCACGTTAACTTGGTCATGACAACACGCACACTGAGAGTTGTTGCTCGGATTACCGTGAATTCGTGTGTAATATATATATATTTTTGTTAGTGTCGGAAAGAACATTCTTTGCGCTCGAGTGACATGAGTCTCCTTCTTGTGGGTTAAAGATTTTCTTTATCTATTTTAATTTTTAATATTCCCCACCCAATTGAGTGGGGTTTAGTTAGATAGTTAGATAGTGAATGGCTGAACTTAACATTATTTGATCGTCAAATGATCGTATAGAAAATAATACCAATCACAGAAAACGCGGTTAGATCACAGAAAACGGGCGTGGCGAGGTGGGTGGGTGGACATCGGGTGGAGGAGGAACTGAAGGACAGTGGCAAGTGGTCAGTCAGTGTGGTCCCGCAGCTCCTGGGAGACCCAACCATCACCCCACCACACTGCTCCTGCCGTGCTCAGTAGCGGTGCAAGTGAGGTGCCGAGGAGGAGGTTCCTGCTAGACATGGGTCGGGTACCGAGACGCTAAAAGACCTTTTCACCCATCTAAGACTTCAAGGTAACACCGTAATGTCTCATCTATAATGTGTGAGTAGATATACCACCCCACTCCCAATCCCCCCCTCACCCACTAACCCCAATTAAAACCTCTATGTACAGTAATTCTAGAATGCTATTAGCATATGGCAACTGAAACTCGTTTAACAAACTACTGTGACACTTCATTAGTAACGTTTATTGACGTTAATTAAATAATAAGATAATTCGGTGTGAATTAAAAATAATTATAGAAGTATTTCCAGACTGATTCATTTATTAGTACGGCGTGACACCAGGATTTACCTTGTTATTACGAGGGTATATCGAGAGTTGGTTAACGTTATTGACACTGTGGTGGCGCTCACCGTGCTGTAGAGGTGACACATTGGCAATTAACCAATTGTGACAAATTGGGTGTCATTCAATTATGACAAATTGTCAATTATCATGTTATTGTATTGATGTATTGGCAGCTACCATGTTATTACGACGATTAATTGGCAGTTATCAGGTTTTTACAATGATGTATCGGCAAATACTAAATTATTATCAAATTAACCTGTTATAACCGGGTTATTATGTCTCGATATCTGTCCTTAATATGTTATCATGACTCACTATTAAGGCCCAGGTTATTATCAACCTCAGTTATTATTAATAACCAACCAGGTTATTATCAAGACTGTCATCATTATAATTAATGATTCTCTCGTTGTTACCTGTGGAAATTAATTACCATTTGCTCTAATATGATAGTTATTGGTGAGTAATTAAACCAATATTCCCTACACATAAGTCCCATTTAATCGGGAGTCACATAATAGGGTACAGTAGTACAGTTGGCTTCATTATCGACTCATAATCCGGGATCCTGGCTTCGAGTCACGGGTGGGACAGAAACGGTGTGTTCTTTCTGGGTAGTTGATCAGTTGGTTGTTTCCTTTCATCTAATGCCACTGTTCGCCCAGCAGAAAAATAGGCACCCCGGAGATAGACAACTGTTGGGGGGCTTGCGTCCTGGAGAGTGTTAGTAGGTAGACTTGGGGGGGGGGGAGAACCTCAATACAACTACAACTACATACAGTTGTATACAACTACAACTAGAGTTCTCTATATGTCTTCTACAACGACCACACTTGCTCTACACGGCGTCCACAACAAGAACCACAGTGTTATAAACACCACTGATCAGTTCATTATACCACAACTACACAATAACCCACTATTTCACACAACCCACAATTTCAATATAACACCACACAAGCCAGTATTGTGGTAGCTTGGCACCCTGGCACAGCGACTGACACCTTACCAACTTTCGGGTATTACTCATCAAGTTAGAACTGAAACATTCGTTTTTTGTTAATTGTTGGCTGGTTCCTCGTGGCTGAGAGCTACATAAAAGAAGGTTGAGATGAGGGGAGACTAGTGAATACTGTATTCATCCCTCTCCATTGCATATTCTCTCCCCTCTCCCTCGTATATTCGCTCCCCTCTCCTCTTCATTGTCTCCCGTCTCCCCAATGGTCTTGGATCTCATACTGTCCTTTCACCATCCGGCTCTTAGGGAAGCTTTCCCTCAAATCCCCCAGAAGCCAGATGCTTGCCAACACTGATTAGCAGGCAGGCGTGGTTGTCATATTTCCACCTGGTAGAACCACACAATCTGAACTAGTCTGAAAAATCTGTTTTGGACTCACTTGGTATTGAGATGGATAATGATCGTTTTACGAAGTTGTTAACTGATGTTATTTGTTATGTTATTCTCAGATTAGATTGCTTCATTCATAATTGATACTCGACCACTTAAAACACACACACAAACGCAGACAAGTAATCATATCATGACTTAATCTTTCACTAAATACAAGTTAAAGCTCATCTCGGCTAAAACCACTTTCTCTATTTAGTTTTCGAAAGTCAAGCGAGGTCTGGGAGCTGGCATATGAGGATAGAGTGATTGAAATGGTCAGCAACCACTTGGATCCTTCCTAGGATTTCTTCTGTAGAATTACACCATCATGCATTCGTGATATGTCTCGTACATGTAAAAAGAGAAATGTTTCCAAAAAGACGTCACGCTATCTATGGATGACCTAGAGACTCTTCATTCTAGCGTGACAATACAAGACCTTTTGAAATAAAAATCTGGTTACAAGGAGCATAATAGCGAGCGTGACAAGAGAATCGCTAATTTCCAGGAAAGCCAAAAGCGACAGGGCTTTTTTCTTTTTTACCCTCCGTAACCTTTTGGGTAGTCTTTTGTCTATCTTATTTGTGGGTTACGGTAATGAAAGTGCAGAGCTTGTTTGGGAGTTATTTAACCAGGGAATAGGTCAGGGTCTCATCCCAAGGACACAGCTCACAACGACGGTGTCATGTCTGTAAACTCATCAATAGTTAATATCCTCCCCTCCGTTATGTGATGTGTGCTTTAGTGATTTCTTAATCCAGTCCATGGTTTTCCACTTTCAAGGTGCTGGGAATGTCCATTTATTAGATAAATGATTGAGTAAATATGTTCTCAGACTAGTAACTAGTTACTCTACTCTCTCTCTCGCAAGGGATACCTCGCGTTCTCACGATTTGACCAGAATGAAAGTTGAAGCGGTTTGCCTAGCCAGAAGCGAACGACTCTAGGCAACTCGTCTAACCTATCGAAACCAACGGTTCGAGAAAGCGTCAAAATTGCGGTGTAATAACTTCACATGGCTAAGATCGATAACATAATATATATATATATATATATATATATATATATATATATATATATATATATATATATATATATATATATATATATATATATATATATATATATATATATATATACAAAGCTACAAAGCGTGTGTGTTCCTGATTTTCAACCTTGTATAAGAGACTCTCACGCAGGACTGTGTGAAATGCTTAATCTCACCCATTCCAACCTGTTTTATCATGATTATTTCACCACAAAGCTTGAGTAGATTCGCTAAGCGTTACGCTCTTGTAATATATCCTTGCTAGTTCCCAGAGAAAACTCATCCGTTTGTGAAGTATTCCACGAGTCGTCTGCGTACGACTCCCTCTAGAACCTTGCCAGAAAAGGTCTTTAAAGGCACTGGTTAGTCGACTTGGTTCTGTCTTCCACTATAGGAGTACAGTGAGCGATCGTGTATGTGTGTGTATGTGTGTGTGTGTGTGTGTGTGTGTGTGTGTGAGGGAAGCGTGGGACAGAGTTTTTTTTGCAGGTGCGTGAGGAGGATGTGTTTGCGTGCATTGGGAGTAGGGTTATATGCGTGCTGGCCAGGCTGTGTATGCTTTTGTGTGTTTTTGTAAGACGATTAATATAGATGATATATATGTACTTTTGACTGAGATCTTGCTTGCTTATCTTCTTGTTTGCTTATCTGCACTAACCCGTGTTTTTATGCCTCGAACCCTGGCACCTGAAGCAAACATCTTACTTATAATCCTGTGGTGTGACGTCACTCCAGTGTCTCTAGGTTTAATTTTGTTTAAAGCTAATCCTGTGACTGCAGGATTAGCAAGTTACTTGATTCCAATCCCGATTTAGCCTCACTCTTAAGTTCCTTCACATATCTTGTTGATTGACTTGAGTGCCCAGCTCCCAATTGTGGCTCTATGTCTTGGATTGAACAGACTGTTACTATCCATTTTGTCGACTGTTCTAAGCTGTCTAAGGTATGCTGTAATCATTTGCTTCGTGTGTGAGCGTGTATTCGTATATATATATAAGTATATATATGAGGCAAATGTATTTCCGTGTACGAATGAATGCATAAATATGCATTTATCCACGCAAAAATGATGTATAAATGATATTCATTTATCATTTGTGTTCATAAATGATATTCCTCCGCTTTCTTATGCGTAAGTGTGTATATATGTTTGCATGTATGCTTGTATATATGCATGTACGTATGTATGATGTATTTATGTATATGTAAAAGTAAACAACACGGTTTCAAATCATTGTTAAATGACGAAAAACACTTAGCAAAACACATTTAATTAAAAATAATGATCAATATTAGTTTAAAGGATATTTTTCCCAACAAGGTGACACGCTCAGGACACATACCAGCTCAAGACATGCAGAATCCCAAGACATGTACCAAGCCATGACACGCACAAGCTCAGAATTTACACCCATGACTTCGTGACGGGCTCTGGGGACGTCGACGAGGCAAGACTCCCCAGAAGAACCAAAAATTATAGCCTGGAATGATGACGTTCTCTCTCATAGTGAAGGTCACCGAGACCTCCAAGCCGGAGTGTCTCCAAGCTTGTGTAGGGGAGGAAGGAGTGCGGGCTCCTCTGCCGTGTTGTCTCTGTTATATATTTGTGTGTGCGTGTGTTGCATGGGAAAAAGCAAGGGACACACACACACACACACACACACACACACACACACACACACACACACACACACACACACACACACACACACACACACACACACACACACACACACATACACACACACACACACACACACACACACACACACACACACACACACACACACACACACATATATATATATATATATATATATATATATATATATATATATATATAAATATATATATATATATATATATATATATATATATATATATATATATATATATATATATATATATATATATATATATATATATATATATATGAAGTAATTGTGATCAATATGCATCACGTGTGTTGCCGGGTATTGGGAGCATGCTGTACTCAGGTCCATTATTAACTCAATCTTCTGGTTACTAATATCCTTTAATAGCAAGACATCCATCCTGCTCATAAGGAACTCTCAATGTGAAGCGAAGCGCCTTGAAAGAAACACATATCGTCTATGCCATATTTATTTACGAACTGTCATCTCCTACGATCTCAGTACATTTACAAGACAACAACATCATCTTCACAGAGCCTGACAATGCGCAAAGAGCACTGACCCCATATATGACTAAATAATCTCTACACACAACCAGATCATCACTAGAGATACCCTAGGAAATTAAACTGAAATAATCGACAGATACGACGACAATAGGAGATTAAACATTGGCGAATCACTCCATATCAAACAAGATCAACTATCAACAGCTTGCTATACGACCACGATGGCCACCAACACCACACTCACGTAGGGAAAAGATCGCTCCAAACTCACACACACTACCGTGAACAGGCAAGATGGCCGTCTACCCATCATACTTGCCATGTCATTCGACACACTAAGGCTCTCTGCGTGGCGGCGAAGCTTATGATTGCATCTGCCCGCCTCGCACCATGTTGACGGCTCTGCTTGATAGATTGCGCTGGGGTCACTCGCCTGGGACTCGAAGCTGGGTTAAAACCCGTCATCTTGCCTAATACATCACATTTTTTTTAAGGAATCGGACAATCCGCAAAAAATGTGGTGTTTGGAGAAAGATGAACACTGTAATATTAATGATTTTTATTCATCAGCTTCCATAAGGCTAAGTTGTTAGGATTTAGGTTAGGTAAAAAGTAATTTTTTTTTACACAGTAGCAAATCAAGAAAACGAGCTGTCCATATGTAATTCTCCCGACCTAAATGTTAACTTTGTTAAATTATAAATTATTATATGTATTGTATCGATTTTATTGGAATGAGAGAGCCCGCCAATATAAAATTTTCAACTCACTTATGCAAACTAAAAAAAAAAAAAAAATTTTAAAAGCTATTCATGAACTTCGTCGTAATAACATGGTCTATCAGTAAGAATTTGGGGTTAAACACATTGACCGAGAGTAAGTAACAACACCGGAGCTGAAAATTAGATATCGAACCATCAAACATCTGCATAAGAAGGAAGTGGCGACACTTCGGTCCCTCCAAGACCATTATCATGGCCAGGACGGACCGAAACGTCGCCATTTCTGTTCTTTTCAGATTTGTGGATTAGTTATTAAGTGCATTATTTATGCTCAGTACGCACAGTTCACAGATAAATCACTTTATCGTGAGATATCAATGATATATCATATTTATAAATACTACAATATGATATATCATATTTAAAAATATCACAATGTGATATCACAATGATATATAACAAATAAATTTCGCATTATTTATGGTTTGTCCGTTTTGAAAGGCGTTTACCCTTGTCGTCTTTTCGTATTGTCTGTGACTATTGCAACCATGTTGAAAATGATTATTATACAATTGTGGTGGCTTAATAACCCTCCCCAGAGGTTGATAGGCATTAAACCTAACACCCCAAACGGAATCCAGCAGCTTGTTGCCAAGAATTTCTCTATCTCCAACCCTCCTGTCAGACCAACCAGCCTATCCCCCACCCTCCCACGACCCTCCCATCACAGTAACCAGCCTCTAGCCTACAGGAAACACAGCAATGGCGACTTTCGGAGGGTTTCAAGACGCTGTCAAACGGGTTATTCACACGCAGAGTCCCTGCACCTCCCTCAACCAGAAGAACAGTAAGTTTATTGCTGTACCAATTTTTTTTGTTATGGATGCGCTAACATTTATCTTATTTGGAAGAAATACGTTTTATATTATTAATCAAATTTTATGTTCACATGCCTCGCTAACGATTCACGTCTATATTTAAATATATTTTAATTCTGCCTCGTCTTATACATATATATATATATATATATATATATATATATATATATATATATATATATATATATATATATATATATATATATATATTATTCTTATATTTATTCTTTCTTGTAATGCATCATTTGTCTGTGTCGTATTTCCACGACTTTCCCAGACACAGGAAAATACTGCACGTCTTATTTAAAATAGAGCTTATTCACAAAATTAGTCATTTAACGAATAAAAGTAGTATGAGCGCGACCAAAACAAGAGATAGTGATGAACGAGACCACAGTATGAGGCACTGATGAACAACGTCACAGTATGATATATTGATGAACGAGACCACATTTAGAGATATTGATAAACGCGGCTACAATGAGAGATATCGATAATGGCGTAATCTCATAAAACACACTAAAATTAACAGAAGTTAATTACTGAAAGATAACTGAAGGAGAATATGCCGTGTCCCAATAATTAATATTAAATCGTCATGACTGCTAGGCTTGATGCCTGGGTTAACGTATTCTATATGATAATTCGTTCGTGTAAAGCGCACAGGATAATCAAAGGGTTTCATATTTGTTGCTTCCGATGTCGATAAATTCCCGCATCCCAGATGTCAAGGTTGACCTTCAGGTAACACGCTTTTGCAGAGGATACCACGACATCTTGGATTATAGTGTTTATTTTCTTTTTTATCCAGGGTAGTGGTATTTTCTTATGGGGTTATACCTGCAAGTTATAGAAAATGGCTAATACTCTCCCTCAGACTTTGTTTTAATGTTTGGGTAAAAGCGAAGGAAAAGACGTATTAAATGCACTTAGGTAAGAAGCCGGCGGCTATTAGTTACCTTCAAGATGTCTCCCCTAAGATGTTTTAGGCAAAGGTCAAAGCAAAGTTGGATGGGAATAATAGCTATTATCTATTCTTTGGAGGAGTAAGTCGTCATAAAATAACAATACCCAAAAATTAAGTGTTACATGATGATTACGATATTGTAAATGGAGAGTAAATTGTGTTGGAAGAGGATTGACTGACAATTAAATTGATCGGGGATGCCATAGCATCATATGATTTATGCACATAATTTTTCATCATAACTGTGGTTCAGATTCACGGTTTTCGACTTCCAAGCAGGATGGGCCAAATCGGAGGGAATAATGCTCTCCGGCTTAGCAAGACGACAGAGCTTATTTTGGGTCTAGAGGATGTAATTACACACAGACATCACACTAACGTGATGCATCAAATGAACAAATCCACAAGGGCGGTGACGAGGATTCGAACCTGCGTCCGGGAGCATCCCAGACACTGCCCTTTTAACCCTGTCGTAGCTCAGTCGATTAAGGCAGTGTCTGGGATGCTCCCAGACGCAGGTTCGATTCCTCGTCACGGCTCTTGTGGATTTGTTCATTAGAGGATGTAATACTATTCATTTGTTTAATATCCTTTGACTATAAGGGAAGCCTTCACAGCCCACATTCACCTGCAGTCAGAGTCGTCAGAGGACGCTGTCTTTACCCTGGGAAGTGTTGGCTCAAATGAGGGAGACTAGTTCATAGCACATGAACTTTCTCCCTGGTCACTTATGACTGCTAATGCCTCTCATCTATGTTACTTTATTAAACACAAGAGTTACTCCGTGGTCACTTATGACTACTAATTCCTCTGCAGACGAAGAGTCACAATAACGTGGTTGAAATATATTGACCAAACCACACACTAGAAAGTGAAGGGACGACGACGTTTCGGTCCGTCCTGGACCATTCTCAAGTCGATTGTGTAATAATCGACTTGAGAATGGTCCAGGACGGACCGAAACGTCGTCGTCCCTTCACTTTCGAGCGAGTGGTTTGGTCTACTAATGCCACTCATCTCCGTTACTTTATTAAATACAGAGGTACTCTCTGGTCACTTGCAATAGTACCAGTGCCTCTTACCTTCGTTACCTCATTAAATAACAGTCGACATTGTTGCAACACCCAACTCGTTATCAATTTCCTCGACGGCTCCGTCTCTAACGTGGCATGATCAATTGTGTTTCATTACTTACGCTAATTAGTTCCTCCCTTGCCGTTCTTAATTCTGAACAATTACATGGAAACAATGGTCATTAGTGTTGCGTGTTCGAGGGCTGTAAGTGTCGAAGGGAGAACGCCACGGAGCCCCGGATCAAATAATTACCTAGAGACACAGTAAAGGTGCACTATAAAACGTTATTTCTTAACTTGTCTCTTCGTTGGTTGCATTTTGAAGTAAGAAACACAGTAAAGTGCACCATAAAACGTTAATTCTTTTCTTGCGTCTTCCTTGGTTGCATTTTGACGCAGGAGACACAGTAAAGATGCACTATAAAACATTATTTCTTTACTTGCGTCTTCGTTGGTTGCATTTTGACGCAGGAAACACAGTAAAGGTGCACCATACATAATTATTCCTTTACTTGCGACCTCATCGGTTTCATTTTGACTCTGGTCAAAGCAAACATGCGAGAGAATGATAATCTACACCACTCGTTCAATCTCAGCATGTTATTACTTAAACAAAAAAATCATGAATAATGATAACGGGAAGTTGAGGCTTCACGGGGAGTTGGCAGCTTAGGACTGAGTGAATGGAAAGCCTTTATCATTACATAATCCTTCAGGCTATTAAACACCCACAATGCTTATTCTATGTTATGACCGCTAATGGCTTTAATGTCTAGCATATTAACTAGTGAAATAGTTTAACACACATGCATAGCGAAAGATAAATTTATGTATTGTATAATTCCAGCAAGTTTTCTGTCATCGGGATGTTATATGTTGAGTCAAAACTTGAAATAGTTTGTGCAGATGTATTAACATGTTGTGGATGTTCATGGTCTAAACTATCTATACATAGAGTTAGTATGTCGATAATATGTAGTAGTGTTGTCGTAGGGTGTGATTGTCTTAACCACGCAGCCTGGTGTATGTGGATAGTTAAGACCGACCAGAACTTGTACATAAAGAATACATTCTAACTTGGAGGGTTGTGTATAGAATGTACCAAACAGAGTACAGGGTATATAGACCTCTATATTAACGAGGGAAGAAATGTACTATGCAATATATTATAACGTAAAGTATTTGGCATAACATAGATTACTTTATACGCTACTACGATAGCCGAATATTTAATTAAGCATTCTTCTGCTAGTCTGTCTTTCGTGAACATGCGACACTATTTCGTGATATTTTGTTACGTGTGTCCATACCGTCTCACTCTCAACTTTTCACTGTGTTAAATGTTCATATGTTTATTGGTATTCAGACTTCTCTCGTGTCTGTGTTTATATTAGCTTAAAATGTCTTAAATATACGAGCATGCAAGTTTTTGAGAGAGAGAGAGAGAGAGAGAGAGAGAGAGAGAGAGAGAGAGAGAGAGAGAGAGAGAGAGAGAGAGAGAGAGAGAGAGAGAGAGAGAGAGAGAGAGAGAGAGAGAGAGAGAGAGAGAGAGAGAGAGAGAGAGAGAGAGAGAGAGAGAGAGAGAGAGAGAGAGAGAGAGAGAGAGAGAGAGAGAGAGAGAGAGAGAGAGAGAGAGAGAGAGAGAGAGAGAGAGAGAGAGAGAGAGAGAGAGAGAGAGAGAGAGAGAGAGAGAGAGAGAGAGAGAGAGAGAGAGAGAGAGAGAGAGAGAGAGAGAGAGAGAGAGAGAGAGAGAGAGAGAGAGAGAGAGAGAGAGAGAGAGAGAGAGAGAGAGAGAGAGAGAGAGAGAGAGAGAGAGAGAGAGAGAGAGAGAGAGAGAGAGAGAGAGAGAGAGAGAGAGAGAGAGAGAGAGAGAGAGAAGAGAGAGAGAGAGAGAGAGAGAGAGAGAGAGAGAGAGAGAGAGAGAGAGAGAGAGAGAGAGAGAGAGAGAGAGAGAGAGAGAGAGAGAGAGAGAGAGAGAGAGAGAGAGAGAGAGAGAGAGAGAGAGAGAGAGAGAGAGAGAGAGAGAGAGAGAGAGAGAGAGAGAGAGAGAGAGAGAGAGAGAGAGAGAGAGAGAGAGAGAGAGAGAGAGAGAGAGAGAGAGAGAGCACGCACTATCCTCACTGCGTATTCTACAATCACTTGCTAGATACGCAACAAAATGGTCCCATTAGCCCTAGTCTGGGAGAAGAGATCTCACCACCAGCACCGAAGTTCAGAGCAGCCAAGATACACAACTTCCAGAAAATGGTGAAAAAGGTGGTGAACTCACAGAACACCATCGCCAACGTCGAGTACTTGGGAGGAAAAAGTGAGTATTTGGGTTTGTACAGCGATGTTTGTTGTAGTCAAGATGTACATAGCTTGCCCACTCGCTTATGGTTCTTTTCCACGGTGGAGGGTAGCACAGGTCCGAGAGGCCGTTGTAATGTACCATAGACTGTGTGGTGAGTTGCTGCTACTGGTCAGAGATGATTGGCACTGTTGTGGTGATCAGTACAGCTGGTGCAACGGTTGGAGCAGCGTGCATATGAGTCACCAGGGGACAGAGGAGATGAAGAGTTGTGGTAAGGGT